TATCCTTTAGTACCCGTTGCTTATATAGCCATACTGTGTATTAGCATTATGATGAATACCATTGCAATAGCCAAGAGGATAATAAGCCATTGTATCATCGCTATTGCCATTTGCAATGGTTATTCTCAAATTACTGGGCATAATCGGATACTTGACTAAGTGCGGCTTGATAGTGAGGTTTTGGCTAAGCCCCCTATAGAAGGACTCAATGGAGGCTTAGTCATAATATCAGGATTTCAAATAATTCAAATAATATGGTTCAAGTGCGGAGACTTCGCATAATATGGAGATTTAACCCTAAAAAATTGGTTGAGTATGGTTCAATCATAGTCTGCTGGGAATTTCATTCGTATGGCTTTACTAATGAGGTTGACCGGCAAAACATCAGTTTGGAGGTCCAACCACCAACCACCGAAGTACCTCTGGGTGCGATTTTGGAAACCGAAAAGTGCTCAGCAGGCGAGCGCAACATGTGAATAAGGTGGTGAATTCTTATGACTCTATGGTGCATTGACACCTGCATGATGGAAATGGTGGAAATGGACACTGTGGGACATGCGACAATGGGTGGTAAAAACCTGCAAGTGCTAGGTCTATGGCATTGGGTTCCCCATCATTACTATTTACCCATTGATTGTGTTATGCGCAGTATGTATCCATCATGTATCCACTATGCCTGATATACCCATGATAGGCCCAAAAAGAAGATCCTCAATGCCTGGGATGACATGGGCAGATCTCAGATCGAAACGGTGAGCTTGGGGAGCGCTGGAAAACCTGAGCATTTTGGGCGTGGTGTGACCGATTTCTGTCATGTCCTCCAACCGAAAAATGAAATCTCCATGCACAGCGAAAGGTGTACAGTTTTCATGCGCTGGCTGGCTTTATGGACTTAGGGCTGATTTTTATCAGTCCATTACCTCAACCTTTGTAAAGCGAAAAAACGATTCTGTCAGAAAAGTGCTGTTACAGCTGCCGGCAGCTGTACTAGAAGTCTGTGGTCCAAGTGGAATCCTGGAAGGAAAATTGGACCAAGGCGCGGAGAAAGCGATGAACAGAATATGTCCGCCTGACAGAATTCTGCGTATTGGCTATGCTTGTCATCAATGGCTGGGCCAGCCTCCAAAGGAATGCTGCACGCATCCTGACCTTACTGTTCTCCTTCACTGGAATGATGATGATGATGATGATGATAATGATGATGATGAGGATGATGATGAATGTATAGGGGAATTATCTCAACATCGTTTTATGGCGTGTGAATTACCTTTTTTTGCCCAGCTATATACTATATAGGGGATCATATTTCCATTTATTTCCCATTATATATCCCTATTATATTCATATTATATCCATATCTGGTTGGTGGTTTGGAACAGTTTTATTTTCCATCGTATATGGGATAATCCTTCCCATTGACTTTCATATTTTTCAGAGGGGTGGCGAAAAACCACCAACCAGCTATTATATCCATGATATCCCCAGATGGTTTCGATTTCAACTTCCACCAGTTCGATCATCGCATCGCAAGGCCCATGCGCTTGAGAAGTTTCACCGAGGGCGAAGGCGGCGAAGACGGCGAAGGATGGTGTTTCATCGATGGATGGATCCCTCTGGTTTCGCTGGAAAATCCCACCATTTACCCTCTGGTAAACTAACATAGCTACTGAAATGGCCATTTATAGTGGATTTTCTCATTAAAAATGGTGATTTTCCATAGTTATGTTAAATTACCAGAGGGTATTGGTTAATATGGGTTAATAATGGCTGAAGAATGGCTTAAGAATGGTGATGAATGGATGACTAATGATGATTAATGTGGTTAAAACAATGTCATGTTTACCACCCCATGTTTGATGGTCTATCCCTATACACATGGTGATTTTGGGGATGGTTTATGACATTCTTTTAACCCACATTAGATGATATTCTCAGCAAGAAACCTTCATTTCGTTCGGGAATTCCCATTGCCATTTCCCAGCTTGCCATGGTGAAACTGGAGGGTTTTTTTTCGTCTGAAATCGTGATATCTGGCAGGGATAGAATGGGGATATACCCTCTGGTAATTTAACATAACTCATGGGAAAATCACCATTTTTAATGGGAAAATCATCTATAAATGGGCAATTTTCAATAGCTATGTTAGTTTACCAGAGGGTAACCAATGATGATAAAATCGCCGGTAGTTTCAAATCGCTTCTCAGTTTCATATTTGGGAGGATGATCCCCTACGATAAACCCATTTTTCAGGGGTTGTTTTCAACTTCATTTTGGGGATCAATGTGATCTTGAGAACTTGACTCCAAGTCATCCATCTTGGGAATAATTAAGTGATTCCCCCACCCCCGACTACCATAGACCCTATCAGACAGGGTTTTCAGGGTTTCTGTTGGGGGATGGGAACGGATGATTTTGGGGCGTCGATCATTTTCTTGTGCCATTACTTATCCCACCATTATTATCTGCGTATTGTGAGCATTCAAATTTTGGGAATTGAAACTGAAACATGACGAAATCGATATTACGTTTGAATAACAACTTGTTGATGGTTCCTTGATGGTTGAAACATGCTACTTGCCAACAAAACCCCATTGGTTATCATCAAAAACGGCATTCGGATCCGAAAAATCCCATGGTGAACTGGGAGAACTACAGGGCCTGCCGGTTCTTCACCGTTTGATGTTTGGGATGTGAGTGCCTCATGTTAGCCTTAGGGCAAACCCCAAATGACATGATCACCATCTGCCACCAGTAGCACCTGCCACTTTCAGGCTCATCCTAGGAATCTAGTAGGTTAAAATCAGCATCCATCATGGCATGTTTAATCCCCAAAATTGCAAGGTTTCACCACCAAAGACCATGACCAAAAACTGTGAATGATGGAGATGGCGAGTAAAGTGTGGCGTTTTTTTGTAGAAAATGGCGAGCGCTCGTTCGCCCCCGCGATCCACAGTTAGCCATGATTCCGCCATCTGCCAGGTGGTTTGGCACAGACTTCTTGGGCATATCAGCAGAAATCCAATATTTCAAAGCTTCAAGCCAGGCGCCACCAGGGCTATGAACCATCTGGAGGTTACCTATTCGGTTTCCCACATGAATTACCCTCAGCAACTTGGTATTTCGAAGATTTCCCTAGGCAATCCGCAGAACTCAAAGAAAGTTGGTATCATCGGGCTGAAATCCCTCCATGGTTGAAGTCTCACGCTGATGCATCGCCATTTTGAGAATTCTGATATCCGCATCAACTGGCAGCCTGAAGATGCATGCATGCTACACTGCACGCAACGAAACTGGGGTGTTTTCTCCCATCCTGCAATTTGCTTCAATTCATGGCCTTCCATGGCCTTCTTGTTGTAAAGGTTTGAACCACTGACGGTATTGGCTTCCCAGGAAGCCCCAAGTCCAAAAAGTCCAATGTTCGAATCAGAGAAAAAAGCCCATCCCATGTAGTTCTGGTGTCAATTCTCAATGGCACCCTTTTGGCCCACCAACCAGAGAAAATCCTTTGGTAGCCCCACTGGAAAATCCATGGAAAACCCCATGTGAGCATATATGTGTGTGTGTGTATTGTAAATGGCCGGAGACTCCCTAATGATCTTGGTCAGGATGATGAGATTGCCAAAACTGATTGTGTCCCCCAAACCTGTTGTATTGCTACCCAAAAGGATGAAAACACTCAGCCACTAGTCTTCTCCTCGAACACCCCAAACGCAGCAGCTGTTTGTCACCTGATGATGCCAAAATTGTCTTTGTCGCAGGTTGGACACTGGGAGGTCCAAAAGCAGAAGGCTGTGTCAGCCTTATTCCAAAAGCTTGCAAAAGGGCGGCCTCGCCCAAATCAACCTATGGAGTGACCCTGTCACTAGAGGCGCAAGACACGGAAATCCCTCCGCACCCTCACCGTGGAGGCCCGCCTGAGCCAAGTGTCTGCAGACACTCGTTGGATCAAACCATGGTACCTGAAGCAAGTGGTGGGTCCACAATTGGATATTCACACTCGTCCTTTTTTTATATTTTGATCCAACTCAGTGCTTGTATTCTCACGCAGCCAGCGAACACGATCTCTGGATTGTGCTCTGGCTTTGAGGGTTGTATTTTCGTCCACTAGTCTGTATTGTCCTAGTCTTAAGGTTTCTCTGAGAAAGTGTGCCTGCATGGCCTTTGTCAACGCATCTGCTAATTGAGCACCGGTGTGCACCCATCGGAGTTGAATGCCCTCCTTTAACGATTCCTTTATCGACCTAGCCATGAGCTGAACTCTGAATTCCGAACATGATGGTGGTGCGGTCCGGGTGATCAGGTCAAATAAGGATTTGCAGTCAGTTATTGCCACATCTTGATTTTCATTCACTGTGGAAACAGAAATGGCAGGTTCTAGTTGAAGTAGGGCATTGTCTGGGTCTCGCCATTGCACTTTCGGATCGTGTAGCCATCGCCAATGCAGTCGGATCCAAGCCATCTGATCCAAAGCGGATGCCAAGGAAGTGGTCTCTGCTGATAAGGTGCTTGTCACGACCTTCTGAATCTTCTTGCTCCCCCAAGTTAAAGGACTGATTGGGCACTGGGAATTATTGTTAATATCTTCATGAGTTCCTACAATAATTGAACCAGCATGGGAGTCGGGTTTCTTAGTTGAGGCAAAGGATGCATCTGAGAAAGCCATGAATCTGAAGCTTTGATGTGGTATGGGCTTTATGGTGATGGTTACATCATGGTATCGTTTGGCTTCGTGAAGTAGTCGATTGGCAGATTGTAGTGTCTCAATGTTGGCTTGATTGATTTCTGACTGAAGTAGTGAGAGTCTGCTTGAAAGATCAGGTCGGGTATTTGTTGCTGCATACTGTAGTGATCCGATTAGGCCCCGCAGGTGGCCCCTTTCGGTCTCTGTGACTGGCAATTCAGGCTGTGTTTTGCGATGAACTTCAATGGGGATTGATGGATTTTTTCTTACATAGGCCGATTGACTCAAAACGATACTGTGATCATATTTTTGGGTGAGTTCAATCCCTGTAAAGGTAAAGGCAGTTGAGCTTTTTGACCCAAAAGCGTACTTTTGTTCTAAGTGTTACATCAAACTCGCATCTCCAAGCAAGATCCTGAGATTCGGTGGTGCCGAGTGCATCTGCTTCCTCTACACAGAGAAGTTGGAAATCGTGATTTTCCGGATCATTGGTGGCATTTGATTCATCCAGGGCTTGTGACACCTGGCGACTCTCGATCTCTGGTTCTTGGTCAGGCTGTCTCATGGGACTTGAGAGACTTGGGTCGCTTTCACGGCGATCACTGGCTATGGAGGGGCTATAGGGACTATCAGGTTCATTAGGAATGTTGATCTCTTCTCCTTCGGGGATGGTTGGTAGGTCTTGACTCATGCGTGATATTTGTTGTTGCAAGCTGGTAATGTCCTCAGGTAGGACGCCATCTTCTGGGATTCCTTCACTGGGATGTGCTTTTCGAACATTTTCTGGGGCACTACGATATATTTTCCCTGCCTGCGTAGTCCATACTGTATGACTGGAGTCTTGAAGGATAACCCTTTGGGGACCTATCCATTCTTGAGTCTTAGAGGGTGTAGTTCTCCAAATCATAACCCATGTATTGGGGTGGAATGGACCTCTTTCTGGGCATGGTCTTCTCAACATGGCTCTTCGGATCGAGTCGCTGTTGTCAGCGATGTGGAATGCCTTTCTTGCTGACTCGCGAAGCTGCAATAGGTGTCGAAACCCTTTTGGTTGCAATTGGTCAGGCTCCTGTACTGCTGACAGATGTGATGGTATGGATTCATCACTCATGATGGCCCCAGGCAACCGGCTGCTTTTTCCAAACACAATGATTTCTGGGCTATACCCATGACGAACCACCATGCTGTTCTTGGCCTGGGTGCATTGGTTTAGTGCAGCTTGCAGTTCTGGATATGTGGTGATGGGCATGTCGGTGTCAACGCGCTGTAACATCTCTTGAACAAACCTGCCATGTCTCTCAATCTTTCCATTCTGCCAATGTGCTTCTGGACTGGTAACATGAGTCTTGATTCCATATTGTTGACCAAACTGGGAAAATTCTTCACAGAAATTCGGTGCCAGAGTCATGAACAATCTCTGCCGGGTAGCCTGCCCAGGAAATCCAATGCTGCGACAGCAACTGAATTACATCCCTTGTGGTGTGGGATGGTGCGCAAAAGGCTACATGAAAGTTTGACCCTGCATCCAGCACGTGATAGAAAAAGAAGTTCCCTTTGGCACTATTGCTCCATGATATCCCATCAATGTAAATTTTATGATTGAAGTCTATCATTGGTTTAAGGGACCCTGGTCTTTGGTGCTTTGGAGGGGTATGCGTCAAACAGCTGGGGCACACTAAGTCAAAAGCCGCCTGAACCATCTCTGGACGTTGTCCAGCATTTCGAAGGGCCTTGGCAAGTCTTTCATTGGTAGGATGGCCTAGATTCTTATGGATCTGCATGAGTTTCTGGCGTTCCCACTTCGGCAACCTCAAAACGCTGGTGCTTTGGCTGACTTGTTCCGATGGATGGCTTGGAGACAAGTCTGGAGCCAGTGAGATGGTTGGTTCCGCAGGACGATCTTCGTCATCCTTCGTGGTGCTTTCAGATTGAGGCGGGCTATCTACAGTGATGCTCGGCGATACGCTGTCTGATCTCTGAGACTCTTCGGTGCTTGTTGGCTCTAGATCTTTGGCAAACATGGTCACATTCAAACGACAACTGTGGGCAGGACGTATTAGCTGACGGTTCGAAAGTTCAGGCCACTTTTCCCAATGAGTCTCAAACTTCACCGCCGCTGTGGATCGAATGATCATCAGGGATTTTCGGTATGGAGCCATGCTGGGCATCGTCCCAGCCGGTGGTGCCAGAGTGCGATCAGTGCCACGACAAGCTACGGCTGTCACAATCCGTTTGTCAGAGAATAATCTTTGCAAGTCTGATAAAATATGGTTTTCTGTGATTTGATACTTTCCAACTCTGGGGGTTATTTGATGGATCTTCTGAAGGCAACTTTGATATTCCTCTAAATGTGGTCGAGTTGACTGTTTTCCCGTGAGTCGGCGTCGTTTCTCCTCCTTGTCTTGAAGAGGCTCAGGACTGCTCAAGGCGGATTTTGGAAACTTTTCCTGATTCTGGCTCGGCTTTCGGAACACTGATCGGACTGAACGCTGTCCGAAGGCTGGCAATGTTTCTGCAACCTGACACCATGCTCCCACGGCCCATCTAAATGGCCTTTGAAATGGAGACTGGGACATGACCTTGGCAATCAAACGGGAAAACTTTCTTGGATACGCCTCAGAGAATTGGGTCCTGAGAATTGAGTGACCTTCAAACACAGTGCTACCCTCGATCGGTTGGTGGTTTGGATGATTAGTGCATTTCCTACCATGCAGTTGCTCATATATTCCGGGATGGGTGGTGAGCACGGTCATTGGCTTGCGCATTGGTTCACCAGTTGCAGGATCCTTCAAACCCTGAGTGCACATGTCGAATTGGCAAGCCTGCGAATGTTGGTGAATCTCTGATAATCCATGTACATGTAGCAACAATGATCGGTTCGGCTGCTCCAAGTGAAAATGTCTACCATGTTCAACTTGATGGCGATACAGCACAATCCCCAACGCAACTTGATACATTAAATGGTGGCGTAGCTGTTGATACTTTTGTTGGCTTTCTAAGGATCGGGAAGCATTCAAGTTACTCCAGGATGACCAGGGACCACATGTTGGGCTATACCATAGGTGTTGGGGCCGATGCTGAACAATCCAATGGAACAACTTCTGTCTACCTTCAATCCTTGAGAGATCACCATCGGCCAGACCAAAACGAAATGCCTGATGGCCCAACTGTCGGACCTGGTGAGTCAGGGTTGACTCCGCATCGCAGAAAATCTCCCCCAGCATGAACGGTTTTCCCATTGGCTTGGTCGTGTTCAAAGTATTATTTAGTTCATGTTCAAGGACCTTTATCCATCTATTAAGGTGATTCATGTCATGATGGACAGCCGTGAATGCTTCCGATACATCATCCTGGGCAATGCTTGGTGGATCTACTGCGTTCCCTGGTTCTGGCTCGCTTGCTCCATGGCCTGGGTTTCCAGGTGATTGACCACTTTGGTCAGAGCATTCTCGAGATTCAGCAGGCGCTCCTGCATGGCACTGAATTCCGGGCTTTGGCTCAGGGGAGATGGTACCATAGTCAGTGAGTTGTACATCTCGATCTCCTCTTGCAGTTCTTCGTTCAACAACGGAAAATGGGTTGGCTCCTGGTAGCCAGAATTCGGAGCCACACCCGCCTTTGCCTTGGGCTGGAACTTCACGTTGGCCTTGGCCCTTGGTGGGTTGACGACACGGCCAGAACCCTCGGTCGATCCTAGGCCCGTCTGGACCACCACAGGCATCTGTTGCTCCTCGTGATGTTGAACCATGAGTTCCACGAATCGAAGGAACTTCCGGTGGGCTGGATTGTGGCTCTTGCTGTAGCGGTCTGCCATGAATGCTACCCATTCTTGGTCGGTGTTCCACACCTCCATGTAGCTGCGGCCGCAGTTTTTCTTCCCGAAGTCCACCATCTCGTTCTCGAGGTCTTGGATGCTCAGATGAGCTACATCGGATGGGTTTGGTTCGGACTTCATCTGCAAACCCTTCAAGCGCTGACTCAGGGACATGGCTTTTCGGGTCTTGGTGTTCGGTTTTGACACAATCGGACGTATGTTGGGCTTGGGCCGGGCTATCACCAACCGCTGCATGAGAATTGAAGTCCTGTACATCAGGCATCACTGAACATGCTCGGATTTCTTGGTTTAACCCTTGGGATTCTGAAAGGCATTGCATGGGACTTGACACTGGACTATCACGTGAACCCTTGCAATCGCTGTCAGATTCAGCGGGGATTTCTCTTTTGCATGTTGTGGCCGTGAAAGTCTCACCTACAGTCTTCGCTGCTGGATGTTCGTTCACTGGGCAATTGGAAGCTCTCGCCAATTCATTGAGATCTATCAAAAACAGACCTTTGTTAGTGAGTTCCATCCGAACTGGCTGCCGGAGCTTTGGGCTTCGAAGCAAAAACGCTTGACAGTCGATCTGTGCCTGGAGGGCCCTCATCAGCGTATTGCTAATGAGAAACGGAGTGCTACCTGGAACCACAGCTATCTTAAGCAAGAGATTTCCTATGGGAACAACAATTGCTTGATTGCTTGTCAGGGTACCCTGGTTTCCAAACCTGAAAGTGATCTGACACTTGCACCGGGTGAGTCTTTCTCTGATAGGCTGATCCAGGCTGCAGATCAGACTTTTCACATGATCAGATCCGATCACCGTCTTGGATGCACCTAGATCCAACACACCAAACGTTGTGTGAGTTGCAAAGCAAACTGGATTCACACTGACTTCACTGCTATCGTCTGATGGCGTGTGACATGGGACTTCAACTTTCGAGTGCATCACTGGGTGACCTGGGACATTGACGGGACGGTCGGATCTCTCCGTTTTAGGAGAACTGGGCGACACTTGCACATGCGGACTCAACACTGTCGACATTGGTTCATCATCCTTCCTGAGCACGGTCATGCGCAGGCGTTCTTTGAGTGACTTTATGTTATTATTTTCCCCAAGTGGGCCAATACTAATTCCCCTAGATTCCCCAAGAATCCTACCACGATAGTATAGCCTAGGTCTGCTTGAGGTTGCTTGGCAAACAAAAACTTGACTGGGCTCGGACAAAGTGGCTTCATCGATTGCGGCTTCATCGGATCTGGGCAGCTGCAAAAACTCTAGAGGCAAACTATCCATCGTCTCAAGGCTGGACTCGGTCACTACTGTACCTGTTGGAGCTTGGGAACTGGCGGAACCTGCATTCTGCTGGTTCTGGCGCAGCGGGCACTCTGCTTTCCAGTGACCCTTTTGGCCACAGGCCCTACAGTTGCTTGACAAAATCCGATCCTGGAGCGACCTTCTTGGTCTGTTGAAACTGGAAAAGCCCTTGCCCTTGAACGAGTTTCGCGAGCCAAATCCCTTTCCTTTGGACTGGGAAGGCTGGAACGGTCGGCTTGGAAAGAAACCTCTGTTTCGGGCCTTCTCATTCAGCTTATGTCGGGCTATTTGATAGGCTGAATAGGCACTGGCAAGTTCGGGATCCTCCTGTACAGTCTCACTGAGGGCACTTTCAAAGTCATGGACTAGCAGGGCATCACTGTCGCCTTCTTGAAGAAGCATCTCAAGAACCTCTTCCTCGTTCATCGCATCTTCGGCATTGAAGACGGGTTCTGAATCTTCCCCATCATGTGATGCATCTGCTATCAATGCGGTTTGATCGTACACCTTTGACTTGACTGTTCGCTTGTTACCCGTGATGTCATTGAAAAACACCGATCCCAACATTCTGATTGATTCTGCTACCCTCTTGGTTGTCAACTGACCTGCTGCCTCGGATTCCAACACTATGCGCTTCTTGTCTTCGGCCGTCAAACAAGAGCCTCTGAGAGTGATGAAAGCCTGCAAGTCAGCTAATGTCACCTTTTGGGCCAGAAGCTTGCTCCAGTTCACATCTGCTCGAGCTAGGTATGAATCATTTGTTTCATCGCTATGTTGCTGGGTATGAAACAAGGCTATCTCCGCCTCCTCGTACTTCTTGGCCAACGGAACTCTGCCCCATTGTCCACCTAAGAGCTCCACCAACTTCTTGATGGCTGCCTCTTCCCCAGTAACCAGCTCTGCTTGATGGATCTGTAGCTTCTGAAAAGCTGAACCTGTTGTATTGAGAATGAGTCGCGTCTGCAACTCGGCCAGTTTTGTTTTCGGCCATGCGGCCGTCACCAACTCAACTTTCTGTTGATAGGTCACCAGATCATCTCGACTTGGGTCGAAGGTCGGCACCAAGGATGCAAGCTGGTTGCTTACACCCAACTGAGATGTTTCTGCAGCTGTGCTTGACATGCTTCTCCCCGGATGCCCCCTCGGTATGTAGCGAGGGAGCTCCGCTACCAGTGTAAATGGCCGGAGACTCCCTAATGATCTTGGTCAGGATGATGAGATTGCCAAAACTGATTGTGTCCCCCAAACCTGTTGTATTGCTACCCACAAGGATGAAAACACTCAGCCACTAGTCTTCTCCTCGAACACCCCAAACGCAGCAGCTGTTTGTCACCTGATGATGCCAAAATTGTCTTTGTCGCAGGTTGGACACTGGGAGGTCCAAAAGCAGAAGGCTGTGTCAGCCTTATTCCAAAAGCTTGCAAAAGGGCGGCCTCGCCCAAATCAACCTATGGAGTGACCCTGTCACTAGAGGCGCAAGACACGGAAATCCCTCCGCACCCTCACCGTGGAGGCCCGCCTGAGCCAAGTGTCTGCAGACACTCGTTGGATCAAACCATGGTACCTGAAGCAAGTGGTGGGTCCACAATTGGATATTCACAGTGTATATATATATATATATACACCCTCTGGTAATTTAACATAACTCATGGGAAAATCACCATTCTTAATGGGAAAATCCACTATTTCGACTGGGCCATTTTCAATAGCTTTTAGTATGTTTACCAGAGGGTATATGTTTTTGTATGTGAGAATCATTTTCCAGCAAGCCATGTTTGATTGCCAGGATACTATTATGATATAATATGTTTCTCAATCAAAACGGCTACAGCAAATTTTGTAGGCTTCGAAAAAACAAAAGAAAAACAGAACAGTTGTTCCAGAAATTTGTAGATGATGTTTCTCTCATGTTTCCCTCCACAAATTCCAGTTATCCAGTTGTTCTACCTATGCTTTCAGATGGGTTGCTCTTTACCAAACCATCCCTTCACCAGTTGGGGGTGGGTCAAAATGTATTACTATCAATCTGAGTGGGATGAACATCTATGTACCAGCTATTTTGAGGTTCACCAGGGGTACTAGGGTTTTGACCCTTCACCAGTCTTCAAGTGTGGCAGGTCCAAGCAAATCCCTTCATATTTGGATTTGGAGGAGATTTATGACAGCATGGTGCCACAGGGCAATAGCCCCTTGACGCGGTGTTATGATTGGGGTTTGGGCCGCGAAGCCAATGAATGTGTATCGATGGTGGATTTTCCCGTGCCGGATGGTGATTGTCAGAGGGTCATAGGGATTAGGATGGTGATTAGCTAGTGGAATTAGAGGTACCCTTGTTTTAGACAAACCCAATTGGTGTGTTTCATCCATGAAAATGGTCTTCGGCTCATCGTCTAAGATTGGTCAAGAGAATGTTTCCCAACTAAAAGATGTGGGGCCGGGCAGATGGCTCAGTGTTTTTGTATCGATTTCTGGGGTGAAGTCGAGCGCGGTGAGTCAAAGAATGTGAATTGGAAATAAGTTATCGTCCATCATATTATATATACATTGTGTTTTGAATGTATATATTTATTTACATGTATGTATATATATATACATGGATGAATTACAATGACCTCACGTCGTGACGTCACTGGAATCATGGTGAATGTATAGAGGAATCATCCCCAAATGGACGAACAATTCAGCTATTTTCGGGCTATTGCGGTTAGTGAATTATTATCAAGCCAGATATACATTTACATATATATATATATTTGTTTTTGGAACATGAATTTTATTTTCCCATATATTGGGAATTTCATCCCAACTGACGAACTCCATCATTTTTTGGAGGGGTAGGTATACCACCAACCAGATTATTATAGAATGTACTCCTCCAAATCGGGGAAAAGAAACAGAAGCTGTTTTTAGCATCGCTGCAGAGGCCGGCCCCGAGGTCTACCCCCAAAATCATCCGTTTGGGAATTGATGAAATTCATGGAACTTACATGGGAAATTTCATGAATGGAATCGTTCATAGGGTTTCCTAAGTTATTTTCGGTTTCTCCAATTTTCAAAGCATTCATTTTGGGATAGCCCCAGTGATGGAAACCTCCAGAAATGTCATTCCAGCGAAAAGTGGGCTGAAAAACTTGAGTCAATGGGGTTCTCACCTGGCCAAAGTCTTGATTGGAAAGCATGGTTGAAGGGAAAGTCAATAGGATACCATGTCTTTTTTACCATCAAATATAGGGTTTATCTGTAATTTTTGCCAGTGACTATGGGGATGTCATGGTGAAAAAAAGTTGACATATCATCGATCCGTTGTTTTCCTGTGTTTAGGCATGTCTTCTATGCACGATAAATCTCTGGATTGATTTGCTGGGAAATCTGTGGCTTTGCATCGTCTAGATAGGGCTTCGCTGTCGCTCAAGTTTTCGCTTCAACTAATTCTGAGGATTCAATACAGGGTGGTGCCCCAGTTCGTTAGCTAAGTTGGTTTACAAGTCCAATAACTATCGTTTATGGGTTATATATCGATAGTTATATAGTGGGATTATAACCCATTTATAACTGGGGGGGCACCACCTTGTATTCAATGCCCAGGACACACCAAACCACCCAACCGGCCCAACCGTCATTGGAGACAATTCCGCCGACCGGACTGATGTTGAAAATTGAACACGATAAGTCACGACTTGCCCTCTGGTAATCAAAAGCCATGGAAAGTCCCCGATCTAAATGGAAGTTGATAGCTGCGAAATTCATCTATAAATGGGAGATTGTCCAGCTAGCCATGTTTGATTACCGGATGGTATTCTGGTGTCAACGTTGTAACCTTTTTTTTCGTGTCTGGGATCCACGAAAACATTGTGGAGAGTGTCTGCAGGTTGTATCACTCCTGCATTACTGAAAGATGCATCTTGGACTGAGCGGAATGGAGTAACCAACTTGGGAGAAAGCAGAATGTATTAGAATGTTGTAAGCCCAATCATATGGTAAACCCAATGCCATGAACTATCCCCGATTGAGCTTTCGCATTTTTTGGGTGTACCGGTATGCCCCAGAAAATATCTAGAAAGTATCATTTATGATAGTTTAAGAATGTCAAATCATTCCCAGTCATGGTTACTGGGATGGTTTATTGTTGGGTTGACCACATTACTCGGGCATCATTTTGCGTAATCATTCCAGTTTGTACTGTTGTAGCTGATTGTTATCCACGGTAATTGCGGCGGAACCACGTCCAAAGTGGAGATGTTCGTTCAAGAAGCCGATGTCATGTTTCAGATGTCCTTCTTCGAGAAAATCGACTAAGCAGCTAAAGATTGCCCATGTTTGCAGGGATTTTTGTTTCCGAAGCATATTTCTTGCAGCCCCGAAGCCTCAACAATGGCTCTTCTTGGTACACTGAGTAAGTGCTTAATCCCGGTTACTGTGGATGGTTGCGAAATCCTGCAACGGATGGTTGAAAGCCTTTAAATCATGGGATTTGGTCCAATCCACCACCAAACGGATGGTTGAAACCCTATAAATCATGGGATGGAAACCTTATCTGGTTGGTGGTTTGGAACATGACTTTTACGACTTTCCATAGGGAAATTCATCATCCCAATTGACGAACTCAGATTTTTGAGAGGGGTGGCTCAACCACCAACCCTCTATAATGGATTAGTGGGATGTTGTAGATCATCCCATTGGCGGCCTGCCGTAGGTCGTGAAAGTGCTGAATCAGCGCTACAGCGTCCCTTGGGAAAAAGGGCAATTCCAGGAACACATGAAGCATGCGAAGTGGCTTGTGGGTGCTATACTTGGTGCAGTTGGGTTTATGATATAACCTTTAACTATTGTTCTGTAATATGTCTATATATATATATATCCATCCATCCAATACTAACTGCAACTGCACCCCCCAAATAACTTGTGGAAATGTGGAAACTTCCGATTGGTCTCGTCCAACTTCGGTGAACTGCCGGACACCGGTCCGAGTTTTTAGGTAAGATCGTTGGGTTGCCCTCCGCGAATCAAACGTGAAACGTGTAAAATCCCTGGGGAAAACAATGGGAAAACCATGCTCAATGGATTGGTTTAAGGGAAAATCTACAGGAAACCAGAGTTATTTTCCCGGTAAGATCATGGGGTTTTCCTGTTAAAATTTTCCATTAAACCAATCCATTGACATTTAGATGTTTCAATGCCACGTTTGATTACCAGAGAGTATGCCGCAAACGTTCCAATTTACGAAAACATCGTTTGTGAACCAGTGGATGGTGTACAGTGCACCCTATCTTCAAACACAAAATCCATGGTATTTGGATTGATCCATCAGAAATTTGGCATCAATCGGGATCATGGTCACCCGAGTGGAGTAAATTCCATGGTTAGTAAAGCAATAGGATCCATCATCCCCCAGTCATCACCATTTCTATGGGTGGTTTCTCAACCATAAAGCCATATGGGTAGTTTATGGCATGGCTTTACTATGCTTTACTAACATTAAAAACTATCATCATGAAGCATTATTATGTTCCATTATTATCCATTAATTCTATGCATTATCAACAACTAGTTATTAACCATTGTTAACC